TACATGTTTTGTAGCCTCTCCTCGTTGAGGTGTTGCCATAATAAATCCTGAATAGGTATCAACGGTGACATGCAGATGGTGCCATGGTTTGAAAGGAGGGTGTTGTGTGACATCCATCTGCCATAGCTGACAAGCAGATGTCCCCCGAGGATTTACTCCCTGAGGAAGAGCACTGGATTGGGCACTGCAACTAGGACATTGCTGGATAATAGCTGCTGCTTCTGCAGCAGTGAGCCCGAATTGTTTACAAAGAGCTTTGGCATTTTGATGAAAATAGCTATGTGAGTCCCACGGAGTAATAGGGGAAAGCGAGAGACAGGACATGGCCGAGGCAGCTGCGTCGGCCACGTCATTCCCTTCCTGCAGCTCCCCGGGAACTGGCTGGTGGCTGCAAATATGTGCAATGTACAAAGAATGTATGCAAGAACGAAGACAGCTTTGCAGGGCTAAAAACAAACTCATAAGATTAGCATCAACAGAAGGAGAAAGGTAAGCAAATTCAATGTTAAGTATCAATTGATAAACGTAAAGAGAATCCACAATTAGATTTAGCGGTTCTTGCGCAAATTCCTGTAAGGCCAAAATAGCAGCAGCTAATTCAGCCCTTTGTGCTGATTGCTGAGGAGGGGTAATCTTTGTTTTCCATACCCCTTCCTGTCTCCATGCACAAGCGCCGTAGGTCTTACCACCGTCCGCATAAATGGTTACGCCCTCAACTGGCTGCTTAGCAATAACTGAATTAAAATTTACAGATACGTTTCAAAGCAGCTGGAAACGGGGGTCACTGGGGGTATGGCAAGAAATCTTCCCTGGCCAATTTTCAAGAGCAATCTGCAATTCAATGGATTGACTATACCAAGTTTCCCACAAAGTGAGGGAGATAGGTAAAAATAACTGAACTAGATCTATGCCATATAAATGCATACTGCGATTCCGGCCTTTGATGATTAACTCACTATAAAGCATAGCCATAGTAGAAACTGTTTTTCTGGGAGTATTTTGCAAATGCAACCATTCAATGATATAAACCTGCGCCTCATGTAATTGAAATAAAGCTGCCGTAGGCAAGGCTGGAGTTTGTAAAATTGCTAAAGCAAATGGGGTATCAGGAATGCATCGATCAACCCAACGCTGCGTTAAAGCCGCATTTACGTGTGCCAGTACCTCCCTTTGTTCTGCTGATAAGGTTATAGCAGAATCTGGTCTCGTGGAGCCCTTTAGGGCTAAGAACAAGGGCTGGAGTACCGCTGTCGTTAACCCCAGGTAGGGTCTAACCCAGTTAATTGTTCCTAGTATTTGTTGTAATTTTACTAGAGAAATTTTTTCCTCAATTTCAATTTCCGGAATGACCGGATGAGCATAGGTTGCAAGGACCTTATGCCCTAAGTAGGCATATGGCATTTGACTTTGAATTTTTTCTGGGGCAATATGAAGTCCAAATCGCAATAATACCTCTTTAAGGCAAGGTAACGCTGCTTTAACCATTCCCGGTGGGCCGGGAGCTGCAATTAAAATATCATCCATGTAATGGTAAACCTTCCATCCAGAATGGGAGGTTCTGAATGGAACCAGAGCCATTCGAACATATGACTGGCACATCGTTGGACTGTTTAGCATTCCCTGTGGCAAAACCTTCCATTGGTAACGAAAGGTAGGTGCATTGTTATTCAACTCAGGTACGGTAAAGGCAAATAATTGCTTGTCATCTGCATGCAAAGGGATAGGAAAGAAGCAATCCCGCAAATCTACTACAACTAGGTCCCAATTGCGCGGGATCAGGTTCGGGTTAGGCAAACCACATTGTAACGCTCCCATTGGTTGAAGGATGGCGTTGACAGCTCTCAAATCATGTAAAAATCTCCATTTTCCACTTTTCTTTTTGATAACAAATACCGGAGTGTTATACGGACTAGAAGTTGGCTCAATGTGGCCTAATTTTAGCTGCTCAGCTACCAATTGATGTAAAGCTATAAGCTTTTCCTGTGAAAGTGGCCATTGGTCAATCCAAACTGGCTGAGAGGTTAACAGTTGTAACTTTTCCATTATCCAATAACAATTTTAGTGCGGAACTGTGACAGCAAATCTCTACCCCACAAGTTTATGTGCAGGGGCAACACAAGAGGTTGAATCCTTGCGGTCTCGCCAGTTGCTCTATGCAATGCTGTCAACCAATGTACACTACTTCTTGAAAACTGCATACCACCCACTCCATGAACAGCCGGAGAGTCCTCAAGTGCCCATTCATTTGGCCATTTCTTTTGGCATATCACAGAGACATCTGCTCCGGAATCTATAAGGCTAGAAAATGATTTTTCTTGAATTTCAATTGTCATTTTAGGTTGGTCTGTAGTCAACTTTTTTGTCAGCGCTAGCAATTCTGCAGCAACTGGAGAACTGGCCATTTCAGTGGACCCAAAACTGCCAGTTCATGGGATCCCAATTAAAGGATTCATAGGAATGTATGGAAGCAATAATAACTGGGCAATAGAGTCACCGGCCATTAATGATGCAGGAGTATCAGTGTACAATTGTACCTTAATAACCCCTTTATAATCTTGATCAATAACCCCTGGAATAACCAAGAACCCTTTTTTTGATGCAGAAGACCTGGGAAGTACCAATCCCACTGTTTTTTCTGGCAGTGGCCCATGCAAATGAGTGTCCTCAATGTACACTTGATTAGGAAAAGTCACATCAATCGAGTGTAACATTTTTAAATCCAAACCTGCACTCCCGGTAGTTGCAGGTGATGCCTTTGTGACAGCCTTGGGAGCGGGGCTAGCTGTACGCCCCAAATTTAGTTTCCCGAATTTTGATTTTGATCAGAGCGACATTGATTTGCCCAATGAAACCCTTTTTTGTATTTCGGACAGACCGACTTTGGGTGGACGTCCTTAATTTTGTTTTTGTTAAACGCCATTCCCCCCCCCAGGGGCACGGCACTGGGCTTTAAAATGGCCAGGCTTCCCACAATTAAAACAATTCCCTGTAGGTTTCATCCCTTTTTGTAATGCCATAGCCAAAGTCTCCATGTTGTAAGCCTGAGAACCCACCACTGCACATGCCTTTAACAGATCAGCCAGAGTAACCTCACCTCTAGCCACCAAAGGCTGTAAGATACGCTTGCAGTCAGCTTTTGCATTTTCGACTGCCAATTTCAGCAAAAGTTCCTTTGCCGCTTCCTCATTAGAAATTTGCCGGGTAATAGCCAATTGTAGCCTTTCCACAAAATCGTTATAGGACTCAGATGCTGTTTGCTTAATTTGAGAAAAAGACCGTGCCGGGGTTCCCACGTCCTGGATGTGGGACAGCGCCCCAAGGACAGCCGCCATAATCACGGGAAATACGTGATCAGGCAAATTAGTAGCTTGATCAGCAGTGGATTCAAACAAGCCTGCCCCATAGATTTGGTCTGGCATATACAGCCCCCCCGAATTCCGTCCCCTAGTGATAGCTTCCCTTTGATATTCTGAATCAAAAACCACATACTGAGTAGAGCTCAATACCATTCTCATTAAATCTTTCCAGTCATTAGGAATCATGCGTGAGGTAGCCAAACTTGTCAGGAGACCCTTTGTAAAAGGACTTTGAATACCGTAATCTTTAACTGCTTTCTTAATTTCCCTAAGTACTGCCAACGGAATCGGAACCCATTCAGCCTGCATGTTGCCTTGAGCATCCACTTGCCTATTAACTGGAAACAAATTCATATGGGGAATCTCATCAGGCTCTAATTTCCCCTCATTGAAAGCCTGATGCATCATTGCTTGAACTTTTCCCATTTGTGGCTGGGGTTTCCCCTCCACTGGCGTAGGCGCTGTGGGGGGTGAGAAAACATACTCCAGTTTTGGAGTCGGAGGATGCAACACAACTCCTTTATAAGGAGCAGGTTCTATTAAAGGTTTTAAAAGAGGTTGTTGCTGGGTCTCTAAAGCAGTCATAACAACCTTCCAATATGTCAAAATTTCAGCTGTTTCCCGTGGTTCCTCATGAAGGATAGTTCCAATTTTCCTCCACGTGTCTAACTTTAAAGAGCCTCTCTCTGAGTACCAGGGGCATTGCTGCCAGATCTCTTGCAGCAGCCTTTTCACATTACCTTTTGAAAGAACTATTTGCTCCCCCCCAGAGGGTTTAAAGGTTAAGAAATTTGTCCTGACTAACTTCAGCAGCTCACTAACATGACGTTCCTGTGGCTGAGAAAGTTTTCCCCCCATGTTCCCTGAAAAATCCTATTGTCCAGCAATAGTTAAGTACGTACTTTACCTATTCCAGGTGAGGAAACACGGAGGTCCGGACACGTACCACCCGCAGTGGATCATGTCGGGGTCACCACTTGTGGTGGTCTCCCATGGAAAGAATGAGACACAAGCGTGTGTTCTCGGGATGGGAGCCCAGAGTAAATTCCAGTGCTTCCTTTTATTGAGATTTTAGTACATAGTAAGCATAATTACATTGTGGATTACAATAATTAGATATATTACAGACTTGTTTACAGTTGTCTGGGCTGCTTAATTGTTTCTAGTGTTTGCTTTTAATTTCCTTGCATTATCTCAGTGACCTTTAAGCAGGCATGTATGTATAAAGCATTATATTAATCATTACTCAAGCTCAAGCCCAAGTTTATTCCCACACTAATACTTTACATGATTTTGATTCTATTCCTGTTTATACAATCAAGGATTATATTAGCTATTTTGGCTGCTGCTGCACACAGGTGACTCATGTTTAAGTGATCATCCATTCGGACTCCCAAGGTCCCTCTCACAATTACTGCTGTTGAGCCAGGTGTCAACTCGCAAAGCATCCCTGGCCTGCTCTCGAGTTGCCATAGACAAGGGGGATGGAAAATTAGGCAAGGTACCACATCAGTGAAAACAGAAGAATATTGCAGCATATCTCTGTCAAGGCCATCTCCGCGATTACACACAGTGGCTGAAGGGGAGTGATCTCTACAACCGACAAAACTGCTTCACATTGGAGAATGTGACTGATGACAAACCTTGGGGGGAGGGGGGAACCAGGGTCAGAGCTGGAACATAAATTACTTGGGGTCAGAGTTGGCTTCGCTTGAAATGTGCCAACATGAACCTTCTAATAAATAACTGGATTTGTTTTGAAGCTTGTCTCGAGGTTCATGATTTAATTAGGGCATCGATTGGAACCCTGACAGCAGGTTTCATGTAATCTGTTTTTCCTGCCCAGGTATAAAATCTTTCTTTTCTCCATATTAAGTTTCATTTTGTTGGATTCATCCTTGTCCCATTTGGGTCAGAAAGGCACAATATGCATACACACAAATCTATAGACACATGGTTAGAATGCAGTACTACAGGCTAATTGCCCACAGCCAGAAGTTCGATCCTGACCAGCTCATGGTTGATTCAGTCTTTCATCCTTCTGAGGTAGATAAAATGAGGACCCAGATTGCTGGGGACAATAAGCTGACTTTGTAAACTGCTCAAGAGTGTGTAGTAAAACATTGTGGAGTGGTATATAAGTCTAAGTGGAATTGCTATTGCTATAGTTTCTCCCGAGTGTGGATCCTTTTCTGAGAAGATGACCATTCTGAGAAAAATTATTTCCATGCATCTATATGGCGTCTCCCATGTGGTTCCTTTCATTGGAAGTAAGTGTATTGCTATGAGAAAAGGTCTTTCCATACACTATACATTTATATGGTTTTTCCTCTGTGTGGATCCTTTCATGGGAAATAAGTTTATATCTATGAGCAAAGGCCTTTCCACATTCTGTGCATTTAAATGGCTTCTCTCCTGAGTGGATCT